CGTAAACATATCTGATATTGGGAAAACTAAACACTCGCATGATTATGTAAGAACTTGTTAATCAGAAAGAAACGAATGAAATTCGTTTGAATAGACACTTGGTGACACCCTATGTTCCGCGTTTGTTTGTATCAGATTCGCAATGAAGCTTTGTCCGCTATTGAATGATTTTGTGGTATCGCTTCAAATGGACAGTGGAAAGCATACATTGAATTCATTTTCATTTGTTTTTGGAAACATTTGTACCCTTAGTATTTATAAATATTGAGTGGTTTGTGGATCACTGAAACCGGGATGCCAGATGTTCCTCGAAAATAATGGCTTTTCATACTAATGAGAGGAATGTGCTATCACCTGGTGAAGTAATGATACGTTTGGAAGCCAATTGTCATGTTGGGCCAACAGGCGGAAAGTAAATTTGGTCATCCCTAGATAGGAGTTTACCATTTTAGTTGGCTTATTGCAACCACACTTGTTGCTGTGGAGTTTCGTACCGGTTAAATATAGCACTGAGCACCTGATTCAAACTTAGTGGTACTTGATAGAAGCGTATACATTTGTGTTCTTTACGAAGAATTTTTTGCATTCAACCCCATTGTTAACTGTTTGAAAGACTTGAGCGCTTCGGATATTGAAGATGATTTTCTTTTCATTCTGTGCAGACTCCAACCTTGGCTCCAAGCTAACAAATCAAGTGGCTGGATTCCTGTTCAAGGCAAATCGTTTGATTAGCACCCCCGAACCAAAACCGACCTCTGGATTCAAACGTAAACAAATGGAAAAGACCTGTGAGGTATGTGCATCACATCTCGTCTGGACCTGTATATCTGCAAACTTTCAGTATTCTAATGCAACTTATTGTAAACTGTGCTTTTCGCTTTCATACTTTAACTGAACACCAACTCGATAGAAACCCGTGCTTCCAGCTTGTGCTGTTAATACAATTGGGAAGATGTTTCTGTCATTCATGATTTTGATTTGGCGCAATCAGTCTTATCCCGCTTTGAAATGAAAGTGTACATTAAACCACTGTAGAACCACTTAGATGCTTTAGTACATCGTGTTCAGTTGCTCACCGAGCTTAGCTGTTCGAAAGTGACATACTCACTGCGTTTTTGTGATGAGAGCTTACAAATATCCATTAAGTTGCAAGCACTTGGTATTACGTAGAAATTCTCATAGATGGTGGCACAAACATGATGTGTTCAGTTGTTCAATTTTCATCACATGATTGATCTAATGCCCACTGTATCCTGCTGCGAAACGAACCGATTTGGTCCCTTTTGATTCGTCTCGATTAGCTCTTGTGTCGATTGTATGCACAGAACTCATCAAAATCAAACCGGTTATATCAATCCATTCAAACAACAAGTGTACACTAGATAGTAAGAAGACGCATTACTGAAGGGCGCAACCATTTTTACAATGAACAGGTATTCATAAAACTTCTCCTAAACTGTTTCTTTTCTTCCACTGAACGTCAGATGCGAATTATTTTAGTTTGGTTAAAATATGGGACATAAACGTGTTTAGTGGATTCAAGATTACCTTTGTAGTGCGTGGAAAGAAATAGTAACTGGTTTATTGTCGGAGTGTTATTTTTGAAGCATTGAGTTCCCTTTATCCATTTCATTGATACAGAAAGAAGATGAATGTTGCGAAATGTTAACATTTCGCTTGATCTTCCCAATTTCTAACTTTATATGATTCCCGCCTAGCTGTGCACAACATAAGCACACACTCATCAATAGAATTCTGAAGGCGAATCGTACAAGCATGATCAGAGTATGGAACAATCTTCAGCCAATGGAATCAATTCGCGCTCAACTAAACAGAAAAAAACGATCAAAATGGCTACTTTCTGAAGAGTGAATCATGCAACAGGTCACTGACCATCACAAAGTATTGACATTTCCATTCATCTATTCCGTGCTTGTCCATCACGACGAGACTGCACCTTGATGTGGTGTGATGGCTTGCGTGCCTCAATGACCCTGCGGGCCACACAGGATGGCTTCTCACAGCCGTAGATCCAACTATGTCTGAAAGATCAACGGGTAGAGGCCAGACGAAGCTCAATCTCACAAAACCAGCTGCTTGGGCACCTCCCGGCTTCCTCCTATCCACATCCGCCCCAGGAGAGATCACTCCAGTAAATAAACACAGTGATGGGCACTTTACCGGTCGAAAAACCTCCGCTAGATGGACGTAGGAGCGGGGTACCTGGGGGTTCCTCTCGACGGTGGGAGAAGTCTTTGCACTACATTGGACAGCTGCCGCCGCCCAAGCTGGGCAGCCCCCAGCCAATAAGGTGCTGTCCCGCCCACGTTCCGCTTGTCTCAAAGCGTACCGATAATCAGCGCATCAGTGAACAACTAACTTAACCGAAATCCAAAGGCCTTGCGTGACAGGTCCGCAGAAAGCCCCACAGAGGTGCTTCGTTCACGCTCTCGCCTCACTGCCTTGTGGGTTAGATTCTTGAGCCAAAGGCTCCGGTTAGGGTTCCCAAATAAAAACCCCTTCGTCGATGTGGGCTGCCGCGAAGTATGTCGTGCCCTAATATCTTAGGCACCCATTTGGAAAATCATCTTTCCCATCTGTCTAGTTCTTCTTCTCAACCCCGACTAATCCCAGATGCTTCCTGTTTACACCACCCATCGAATATCAATCAGCGTTTTACAAACAAGGCCAGACAATCAGAAGCTATAGGACTTTTAAAGCCGAAATCCTCTTTTCACTTAGCCGCGTTCAATGTCCGCACACTCTATCAGATTGGTCAACAAGCTGCCCTAGCTAGAACCTTTGAAACCTTCAATGTAGATGTATTTTGTGTCTCTGAAGCACGCATACAAGACCCCACCTTCTCTCTGCGTTCTCCTGATCCAACCTCAACCTCACGCTTCTTATGTCAAGCGATTCGGTATCCGAAGCTCGCGGTGTTGCTGGTGTCGGGATTGCGCTAAGTGCCAAGGCTGAGCGCTCACTTCTTGACTGGATTCCAGTCAGTAACCGATTGTGCACTCTACGTCTCAACGGTTCAGCGCTTGTCAACAGCTAAAGAATGAAGCTCGATGCTTATTCGTCGTATCGGCGTATGCACCGACTGATTGCAGTATACCCGAAATCAAGGATGAATTCTACGAAGATCTTTCTCACTTAATCTAAAGTGCTCGATCAACAGACGTCGTAGTAGTCGCCGGAGACTTCAATACTCAAGTGGGATCCCTGGACGAATCGGAAAGGCTTCTTGGTGGACTGCATGCACTCCCAGCCAACCGGACGGACAACGGAGATCGTCTACTTCAACTCTGCGCGGACCACGGATTGTTCTTGTCAAACACGAACTTCTCACACAAGAAACGCCATCGACTTACATGGAAAACCGACCAGCCTCTTCACTGCGCTGGACCCAAATAGACCACATCGCCATCAGTTACCGCTGGAGGACCTCTTCACTGCGCTGGACCCAAACCCTCAGTTACCGCTGGAGGCGATCAGTTCAAGACTGCCGCTCTTACTGGTCAACAGCTGTGGATAATGACCACGCCTTGTTACGAGCCAAGTTCTCCCCACGCCAAGCAAACAACCGTAAAAAAGCCACCGACAACGGTTACCCACGATACAGTGTCAGCGATTTATGCATTCGGCCTTCGAAGCGGGGCTCACCGATTGCCTGTCAGTTCAACCACCAACCGAAGGACTCAATGAACACTAGAAGCAAATCAAGGAAGCTATGCAGATATCGATAAAAGCNAAAAGCAACGTCGAACCCTGCCACAAGCTCAAAACACAAACGGTGGATATCATCGACCTCGGTTGCCCTGCTGGACTCCCGCAGAGCCCTCCCTCCCGATGCCACATACGACACAGCGCGCAAATCCCTTAAGCGCCAGCACATCAATAGTCTGAGGAATGACCGTGAGAAGTGGTGTGTAGAAAAGTGTAAAGAGATGGAGAAAGCTGCGGTTATTCGTAATAGTCCTAATCTTTGCCATCTGATTAGGAATACGGGCCCTGTGAAAATGGTGTAGGTGAGGTAATTAAGGAATCCGATGGCACACTGATTCACGATCAGCAACGCCGTCTTTACCGTTGGGTTGAATACTTCAAAGCTCAACTGGCTCCCATCGACATCTTATCTTTCACTCTCCGCCTCGACTAGACAAATACTCCCAGTTGATGCTAGTCCTCTATCTGAAATGGAGGTTTCTCGGGCAATAAGGTATCTCAAAAGGCATAAGGCCTCTGGTCCAGATAGGCTGTTCCCATCAGCGTTCAAAGATGGAGGCTCAGCGTTAGTTTTGGAGTTGACAAAATTCCTGGGTTCAATATCGGAAAGGGAAGAGGTTCCAACTGAATGGTATGAGTCGGTGATCATACCGATTTACAAGAAAGGTGATAGATCCTCTTGCGAAAACCACAGAGGAATTAGTTTAATCAATATTGCCTCTAAATTTGTCGCTGGCATCATACTCCGCCGATGGTCTGCCGCACGTGAACCGTGCACGCGTGAGAACCAGGCCGGTTTTAGACCCGATCGAGGTTGTGTCAACCACATCTTCACTCTCCGTCAAATTCTGGAGCACATGCATTCTTTTCGTAGACCCACAATTTCTATCGTCCTGTATCTGAAAACGGCTTTCGACTCAGTTGACCGCTCTAAACTCTGGCGCTGCCTTTCTCTGAAAGGTATGCCCGAGAAGATAATTTCAATATTATGATCGCTTTATACTAATAGCCGAAGTCGCGTCCGGGCAGATACATCTCACCCGTTGGACGCATCGCGGATGTGTTTGCTCGCATACAGAAGGCTCGGTTGGCATTTGCCAACTTGAGACATCTGTGGCACCGTCGCGACATCCGGCTGCCTGTGAAGGGTCGAGTGTATGCCGCGATAGTTCGGCCAGTCCTGCTATAAGGTGCAGAAACTTGGCCATTAAGAAAACAGGAAAAAGATAAACTGTCGGTGTTTGAACACCGCTGTCTACGCAGCATTGCACGAATCTGGTGGGGTAGTCGGATGAGCAATGCTGAGGTTAGGGGCAGAGTTCTGGGTATTCGCGGTCGCCCACTGGAGCAAGTGGTCGACCTCCATAGGTTACATCGGTTGGGGCATGTGTTACGCATGTCACCAGATAGGTTACCACGGCGAGCGATATTCGCCGAAGCAGATAGTGGAAAAAAGGCAAGGATGGTCAAGCTAAGACCTGGCACGAGGGTATGAAAACTCTAACCAGGAGACTGGTTCACATAGGTCTTGCGAGGCTCCCTGACTGGGGACCTCGGGATGATCGTAACCGATGGTTAGAGACACCAAGTGATATGGCTGAGTGTCGTAAACAGTGGCGTTCTTGCATCTTCTCAATTTTTTTGTAACCTTAGACCACTGAACTTCTCCATTTTCTGTTCTACTCTACTTTCAATTTTCCTTTCTCAACCGGCGCACGAATAAGTGTGGGTAATGTTTTGACGAACTGAAACTGAATTCCATGCTTGTGAGATAATTGATCGAGCATACATACCAAGTCCCACTAACATTCGGACCCACGGAATGTCAATTCCATTTGCTCAGTAACGAAGAGCCCTGTGAGCGAAATTTCTCTTTTCAAAATGATGTTACTAATGAGTAGTATAATTACAACAACAAGACCGGCATTTTAAGAAATTTGCAACTGATAATAAAAATAATACTGATTATGGATAATAAATGTTCAATGAAAAAAGTTAAAGTTGTTCTACGTGACGTCAAAATATCTGGAACCCAGTCGGAAAACTTCGAAGAGAAAATTCATACCACATACGATGTTGTACCTCGTCCACATGCTCCCAAATCTTAGGTCTACATGAAATGTACACGCTTTTAACTCGGCGCTCGATCCTTCTGCAAAATGCCTCAACGTTATCAGTATGCATTCCGGTGGCAGGATTAATAAACCCAAAAGAGTGATTCACTGTCTTATGGACAAAACTCCGCGATCCTAAGGATTGGCATGCAGCCCTTCCTGTGTATGAGTAGTGATGCATAACGCTACTATTGACTTGACTTGAACTTGACTAGTTCCTGGAGCTGCCCACTTATGGATGAATTGTATTAGAGTGGCAAATGACCTATCTTCCACACATTCAAAGTAACCCATTTTCAAATATCGAAAAGATATTCAAGAATCCCAAACTGTAGTCTGCTGCTTTCCTCCTGCATATTTGCTGCGTACGACAATCGTTTCGTCCATTTCCACCACGACACCAAGCACCTCCCAATTGTGTCGTAAGGGAACATAGAGTAAACCAACATACGTCGCAGCAAAAGGTGTGCCACTGAATAGCAGTCTTACCGTAAACGTCGGCCATAACGCTAACACATGTCACAGATTCTTTCATTATAAAACAAAGAATGGCATCCGATAAGGTGTCCAACGGTACATTTGAAAGTTCAAAAAGGACGCCTCAACGAATTCGACGACGTTTTTCGCACATTATGCAGCAAAATCATAGTCATCTTGGCAATCGGTAAACTCTTGTAATTGCACGTGGTTAAGATTAACCTGTTCTTACCCAGGAGGGTGTATATTGGAACCCCACAACTGTGGCCTAATTTTTCACTTTTTCAACTGTTGTGTGGTCGCCCTCTGATTGACCGCTTCCCCACTCCTGGAAATTATTCGTATCATTAATTTTATTCAAGTAAAAGTGAAGAATGAAGAAGAATCGCATTACAGACTAGCGAACAATGAATAATGGACCTTTATTCATTAGTGCTTAATTGCATCTTTGACATGTCTTTTTGTGGTGATTGTGCAGCGACTACTCGAGCACCACGATACAACTTCCAGGTAGCCAATCAGGAGACGGAGTTTCCGACTAATCCTGTGGTTCTAAATAGAAGTAATCGGATTAACGGAATACAAAAAGAGGTTCCAATGGACCACAAACTTAGTCATTTGGACATCGAAGACTGTGCCAATGGCTGTTTTGCACCTGTGAAGGTTATTCGCATGACTTTCTGAAGAGCTTTAACCGTATCCACAGCTCGGCTTGGTTCTACCTACCTCTGAGCGACCGTTCAGTGTATTTTCACTCCGAAGCTCGGTTTGCGCTATTCGGTCCTTATTGCTATTCCGAAAATTACAATTATGCTAACTACTTCCAGTTCTCTGTTTATATCAGTTTGCAGCTGTCTCTGATGTGCACGAAACCCTTCTTTTTCTCTCGATCATATCTCTGCTGTGGCCCAGTGTGTGATCGGAGCTCCCGAATGGGAATCGGAATCGGATACAGGCAGTGTGGGATGCACTGAGGAGCCGATGAAATCGAAACCCGACGAAAGCTCTCTCCAAACCGGTACGTTTGGCTGGGCTGACATTAGGGAACGCGGCTTATTTTGCTTCTCAATTGCGATAGAGCTGTTCACCTGCTGCCTCGTTGTGTTTGATGCCTCACGTTTTGGTTAGATAATACTTCACTTTTCCATGTGTCCTATTTCCGACTATACATATGTCCAGGAGATAACGTACAATAATTTGCGTAACAGAGAAATCAGTCCATAGTCGGTTCAATGATGGAATATTTCTTAGTTTCCCTGACGAAACCGTACACCATTTTAAAGAAATCAAAACAGAGACTTCGCTCAGGCAAAGCATGACCAGCAAGATAGTTAAATGAAACGAACATTATAAAATGCTTGAATGGATAAGCTCCAATAGTGATTTTAGTTTATAAACTCGAACGCCCGTTCAACCGCAAAGCAACAATCTCTCTGTGTCTTCAGCCTACAAGACTTCCTAAAAATCTTTTAGCCAAGGAATTTAGTTTCTGGTATTTCTCATCACAAGTTTCTCTCCGGAAATAAAAATAAACGCTTTTAACTCAGCATTTGTATATTCATTTGTTCTTTGAATCAGTAATTTGAGAGGAGACCATGTGTGAACTGTACTCATTATTCCAAATGCACTTTGGGGGTGAAAACATTGGCTTCGGCTCATCCAAATTAGGGATCAAAGTTGGTGTGTTCTGACGCACAAGTACCGGATACATGTACTAATTAAATCAGTATATGCTTCCGGGATAATTTGGTCCCATTAATCACGTCTTAAGTAGTACCGGAAAACATATATCAAAATTTCATAATTACTGCTTTAGTACGTAAATAATATATTTGTTCATTCACCGGCGTAATAGAAGGTAGGAAGCAAACCACTGTACCGTTGAAATGTTCACACCGGAGTGGAATGTTTACCTGACGGACCGCATACTAGTCCTTTCGACCGAAATGTATAACCCACAAGGAACTGAGGCGGTCTTTTGAATCCGCTATCCAGCGAGGATCGATATCCAATCGGTCGCATCATGCACCCTTCGGATTCGGATAGGCACGTTGTGATACACCGCTTTTCAATCGATCCGACATCTCTACATCAATTGGTCTTAATAGCAGTCCATACCCGTCACTATCAGTGAAATGGAATCAGGTCTTCCTAAGTCCTTTCAGATTAGCAGGCTACCGGTGGCTCCGAAAATTTGCTTTTTATCCTTTCATCGCAATGAAAAGGAGACTGAATAGGATTTCTCCTACACAGGTTGAGTGCACAGATTCTTGTGAAGCAGTTCATGAACAATCCGCAATAGTGAAATTCGTTTACTGCATTGGTAATTACCGATTATTATGTGTGCTTATCAAAATGTTGCATCCCCACTTTTTCGCGTCTTCATTCGCTTACCACAAAATGGTCCAAAGTCGTTCGCAGAATAGTGATGACATTTTCTTAACATGTCATGTTCACATTGGGTCGATGTTTTCATCTTCATTTATTTTTCTATTTTTATCACCCACTGCATTTCAAAAAACGTTTTACTTCATACTCCTTTGTGGCGTTTCTTTATCCATCCCGTGACAGATATGAGAATTCTAAGAAAGTCCGCCTCCGCAGGCTCTCACCGGTTTATCAACGGTAAACTCATTCCATGCGATGGTGTGACAAATTCCGAAAACATACAAAACCATACCCCGTCCGAAGTATCCACCACGGCCAGCACAATCAGTACAGCGTGTACACGTGTTTATCTGTATGAGGCGCTTGTACAACCAAAACATCGGTCCCGATTGTGGGATCATATGCAATTTTGGGAGGATACGTTCTTTGATACGGTTGCACAAGAACGAGATATGATGGGTACGTTTTACATGCTAGTGATTTCAGTGCTGACAATTGTATTTTCTTTGTCAGCTCTCATGGTTATTATATTGTTATTCGGTTCCTTTATATGGAATACCTAATTGGAAAACGTTTTTCCTGTATAAGCTAGAGACCAATTAAAAGGTTGAAGAAAACTGTGAACAAAAGATCGCGGAGTAAAAATTGATGCGAATGTCTTACATTCGATAGTCAAAGCTGTCTCAACTGGTGCATTTGGCAACCGTAAAAACGTACTGAAGAGAGAGCGAGATCCATCTGAATATGATAATACCTGTGCTATATCGGGCTACAACGATTCGAGAGCTATCAGGTTCGTGATTTGTTCTTCCAAAGAAAAATCAACCTTCTTCACACTACTTTTGTTCAATAGTTGTAGGAAATAATGCAACAGTTTAGTTTAAAACCGATTAGTACAAAGATTGCTAACTCTGCATCAGATGAATGCCCAAAACATTATATCGGACAAACTGGAAGCAAATTGTCAACCAGGATCCGTAAACACCAATCGGCAGTCAGGAGACATGACCCACTGTCGTTGATTTCCCTACACAAAGATCAAGAAGGACATCATTTTGATTTCGAATCAGTGAAAGTTATCGACTAATCCCGGACAAAACATGCCAGAGAATTTCTCGAAACTTGGCACTCTCAAATCAACTCAATAAACGGGCACATCGAACTGGATCACCTGTACACGCCAATGCAACTCAAAGATCAAATGACGCAACGTAAAAAGTCACGCCATGATCTGAGAACGGACCAAAACTGCAATCAGGACGAAAGGATGACCCACCCTCACTCTCTTGCATCAGTTTAATGGTGCACCGAGTCGAACACAGTGAGAACAGGGGACAAGAATGGTCGGTGAAAAAAATACATAAACCAACGCGTACATGCACAACACTGCCACTTTACAAATATTGATGATGTCACCTCGGCTGATGACGAAACGTTTGCAGATTGCCAAGCTCGGTGAACAGGCAAAATGGAATCGTTCATACATATTGACAAAAACCATACAATTACATATCACGAGTTATTTTGTTTGCCCATGGTCCTGATATTGAACAATTTGCGTGTCAGCTTCTTTTGTTCGAAATCCCCAGTTTAAATCGATTGCCAGATGCATTGCACCGAGAAACACGTCATCGCGAATAAAATTTACCGTATCAGTTACATTTATTCATTAATGGAATCAATTTATGCTCTGACGTGTAAGCTGTTAAACTGACAGTTTTAAACGACTATCTCCTGTAAGGGAATAAGTCAGTTCCATGACCCACGGTGAGCTATATATATTTCCGAGAATGGGGCTACAAACAGTCTTCCCATCACCACTCGGTCTTTTATTATTCGATCGTGCACCTCTATCGTTGGGTCATCTCAGTACAACCCGTAGGTTAAAATGATTTTTCCAGCCTTACTGAAAAGGTGAAACGGGTCAATTCTTCACGTTAATGCGTCACCTTCAGAATTTGGTAGCGTTTTACAGAGGGAGAAACGTCATTAAATGAAAATCCGTCGTTTCCTCCAATAGGACTGCTTGCTCGTGTCTACCTAATCATTAAGCCTAAATCCACCTTATCACTGTCTAAACAATACTTAGGTGGCTGTTCTGTAAATTGATAACTGGGGACATGGCAGTAAGCATACAGTCAAACTGGATAAGAATGTCACCAAAATGGTTGTTTCAAATTCGTTCCGTTGTCCGAGGCATTGAAAACACCATGCCGATTATTCATAAGGCCCTATGGTTCAAGTTTATTTTATCAGTAATCACCTGCAAAACTGACACCCTATTTGACTATCTCTGAAGGCGAAATCTGAACAAACATGAATTGGCAATTCGGTTCAGCCCCGGCATGAGCTGGCTGGCACAGTGGCAACACACACAAAAGTTCCATGTGCTGGGTTGGAAGTTCAAATCCCAGACGGGACGGTGGATATGCACTACTAATGAGCTCTAATAAGAGTGAAACTCGAGTCTAGTGCTTCAGAATGTATGTTTGACTGGAAGAGCTTCTTTGAATCGTTCTGAGATGGACAAGTAAAACACGTATTAAGATGGTTCAAGCCCACATCTATCACCATTAGTCGATTTTATCATCAAACCGCTTGTTCTATGGATTACCTGTAAAAACGTTCATTAGACTTTATTAGTCCTTTCTATGATGTTTATTTCTCATGTTTGATGTCGATTTAGCATTAACAGAATTCAGATGCATCATGTGTGTCGCAAATCGTAACTTTTAAAGATAAAATTCTATCTTGATGACAGTCTCTATGTGGTCAGCAACCGTGCGGATGTTGCTCCAGCTTTCCCGTGGTTTTCATC